ACCAGCTTTAAGCTCAATCTCCACATGCATGTGATAAGCTTTCCTAAAAATAAGCTGATAAGGAGATATGCCTATTGGAGTCTTGCAGGCAATTTTGTATACCCATAGTGCATAATCAAGTCTCTTATTCCAGTCCTTCCTATTAGGTTGTACTATCTTCTCAAGAATCTATTTTATCTCCTAGTTAGAAATTTTGACTTGCTCATTAGTTTGGGGTGATAAGGAGAGCCATCTTATCCATAACCTAATATTTTTCCAACAAACTCTACATTCTCTTGTTACAAAAATGGGTCCCCTAGTCACTGATAATAGCCCTTAGAATATCAAACCTGTAAAAGATATATGACCTAACAAAATCTACAACAATAACAGAGTCATCAGTCTTGGTGGCTTCAGCTTCCACTCATTTAGAAACACAATCAACATGTAGTAAAATGTAAGCAAATCAAAATGAAATAGGAAAAGATCCCATGAAATTAAAACCCCATGCATCAAATATCTCACAAAAAAGTAGAGATTAATGAGGCATCTCATTTTTGTAAGAGACATTTCCTGTATACTGACATCTAACACATTGCTTACAAAATACATATGCATTTTGTAATAAAGTAGGCAATATAATCCAAAATCAAGAACTTTTCTAGTAGTACATTGTGGACTAAAGTATCCTCCACAAGCAAGAGTATGACAAAAATATAATATAGACTAAAGCTATGTGTCAAGAATACATCAAATAATCTGGTAACTACATATGTGCGAAAGGTATAGGTTATCCTAAATGTAATATTGAACTTCCCTCTTAAAGTTATCTAGTTGATATTTCTTTAAATGCACAAGAAATGTAGAGCCAGCTAAGTAATTAACTAAGTCACATACCAAGGAGTAATATCATGCAGTATATAAGCATTCATCAAGAAAATTATCATCAATAAGAATAAAATGAACTATAGGAGATTTAATGTGACTTAAATGATATGCAACAAAATTCTCAGCTCCACTCTTATCTTTTATCTCCAAGTTAAACTCTTGCAGCAAAATTATCCATCTAACTAATTGTGGCTTTGCATTAGGCTTTGTCAAGAGATACTTTAATGTTGCATGATCAAAAAACATAACATCTTTTGCATTCAAAAAATATTATCTAAACTTATCTAATTCAAAAACTATCACACCCTAAAAATTCAACATGACTGACATAAGATATATGCACAAATTCACATTCCTAAAGCTTTAATTAAGAAAAGTCCTGAATTAATGTATCAAATTTTACTTTTCACATTAATCAAAATATCAAACTTTTTATAAAAATTTCTACAGCACCTCCCCTAAAGGTAGGATCCTCCGAAATATCTATAACAGAAAGTTTACAACATATATCTAGCAATATAGAGCTTTGCTTCTCAACAACAAATAATTAGCATAACTGAAAAAAAAAGACCCTAACTATAGTTATTGTGGAGCATTCTAAATTGGACTTTCAAAAGATACTACATAAGTTTTCAAATTTTACATAAATAAGATGATATTCTCAAAAGTAATCTTCTAATCAGTTCAGCAATGAGCCCATCAGAGATTAACAAAGAGTACAAAATTAGCTATGGTATCTGAGACCAAATAAAATACTTTTTCCAATGAATAACGTCCCAGCAATAAACAATTAAACATGAATAAAAAGAAAAGTTTGAAATAATTATGTAATTTAAATAGACAACAATTTTCATAAAAATTTAATAAACTTCAAAATCAAATGGCTTTATAAAATTTTAAATAAAATCTTAAACCATTGCACTATTATAACAAATGTCATTATCAGTTGATTTCAAGAAAGCATATAAATGAAATAAATGTTTGTAAAAATTTACTAAATGAAAATCAATGGAATATAAAACCACCAAATAATCAAATTCACAATTTTAGAGACTTATCAGAATAATAAACAAATGTGGACACATAGTCCACGAAGATAAATAACCGAATGTGGCTTATGCCATGAATACAAATGTGGACACACAATCCACGAGGGTAAGTAACCAAACACAACTGAAGCCATGAAACAAACATGAACACATAGTCCATGAGGATAAATAACCGAATGCGGCTTATGCCACGAATACAAATGTGGACACACAGTACACAAGGGTAAGTAACCAAACACAACCGAAGCCATGAAACAAACATAGACACATAGTCCATGAGGGTAATGCTAACCAAATGCAGCTTGAAGCCATGAAAACAAACGCAGGTACGAGACCCAAGAATAATCAACGTGAGAACAAAACTCAAGAAAATCAAACTAGCTCGTCATTAACCATGACGTGCCAAGGGCTAACGAAACTGTCATTAGCAACTAGTGTTCTGTGTATAGTTCCTTTTTAAATTCACTTTCAGACATGCGAGAAAATCATCATTTTCAAAATACAATTTCTCTTCTCGGTATCAAACTACACAAAATATATAAAAATACTAATCTTTCTAAATATGAAAATTCATTATTATTTCATAAACTGTTCACAAACTTTCATAATTGACTTTATCAAATAAAAGACTGCTAGAATTTGTAAAAGCATTTTGTCAATTTGAAAAGCATAAGTCATGACTCCAAGAAATAAAACAATTTAATTAACAAAAGTAGCTAATGCAAAAGAAATATATATAAATATCTGTAAATTGTTAAAATCAATATTTTGATAAAGAAAATCTTTCAACATGTAAATTGATTAGGACGTTATCCACTTACATGTCAAATTCCAAAATTCAAAAAGTCACTCCTTTTCAACCTTTACCAAGTTCTTTCCAACATTCTATATAGAGATAAAAAATTTTAATGGCCTATACTTGAATCAAATAAGATACCTTTCAAAAATCAACTCACCACCAACATTTAACAATAATAACTTTAGAGTTCTAAGACTGTAGTTTACACATAAAACTTTCGTCATAATTTTCAACTTTAGCTAATGACTTGACTAAAATACAATCTCCTCTTAGGCTTTTTGTCAAGCATATAGTGTATGACCTCTCTAAGCCATTCAATTAAACTTCCTAATTCTCAAACTTTACTCAATAATTTGCAAACACCAATATCTAAATTTATCATACTTTTTTAAAACTCAACATCCATCCAAATCAAGTTTAAGTTCAAAGAAGACCAACTCTAAATTTTTCTTCTTAAGGTAACCAAATCAATCAAGTGAAATTACCTATCAAAGATGAGCTCTATCAATATAGAGAATTTTTCATAATTTCCAGAGGGTATAAATCTTCTTATCTAGTTACAAAAACTCCATTAAAACTAGGATTATAAATAAGATAAAAGAAACTTGGTTAAACATGATGTGGTGGGAGCAACCTTATTGATTGAAGTTTATCTACCTTAGTACCTAAATGCTTTAATAAAAAATGTTGCATTAATTAAACCATCCCACTACATAATATTGAATAGTATATGCTGACAGTAAATGAACCAATAGATTACTCCCTTTTTTAAAAAATTACAATTAACAAAACTCAAAGAAAACCAATCAAATCAAGCTTCCAAAGTTCTATGCCTTCAACAAATAAATTCATCTTTAACTCTAAAAATATTACATCCTCATCCCCACATTACTCATGGCAACAGAGAAAGGAGGAAGAAAAATTTCAATATTTCAACCCACAACACAAGTATTCAGCAACAAGGAAGTAAAGGATCAAAGTTTATTACCTTAGACCATCAACAACACAAACAAGAAGTAAATCACGGTGAAGAACAGAGGAGAGGAAAAATCTCGACCCACTTAAGCAGCTACACATACGAAGGAACACAGCCGATATAGGCGAGGAGATGAGAAAGTATCTTCAATGCTGACTCTAGCCGACGCTCCAGTGTTTACACGCCTAGTAGAGCATTGAAGAAGAAATAAAGATTCGATGCTTCCCACAGCTACACACACTCGATGACGGCACTTGAACAAGGAAGAAGAAGAGAGATGTCACAGGAATCAAAAAGACTAACAGATCAAACATTTTACACCCATGAGCCAACTCCCCCAACACAAAATAGAGGAACATGCTACATGACTCTAATAGAGGAGAAGAAAGAACAGTCGGTGATGGAGAGCAGAGGGAAGAGCAATGCGAACAAAGGAGAAAGATTAGAGAATCCAATGACTCAACCCATTGTGGCTAATAAAAGTGAATGGAGAGGAGAACGACGGACGAACTGATGACGATGGGAGGCAAACAGTGCAACAGGAAAGAGGAGAAGACTAGTGAAGAAAACTCACGAACCTTCTCCATTTGAGCTCTATGAAATTGATCGAATGGAAGAGAAGAGGAGAAGAAAATGAAATATAATGCTTATGACAAAAATTACAAAAAAATACCCCCATCAGATTTTATTATTATTATGTTTTTATACTAATAGGCGAGGGCACATTTAGTAATTTTCCCATCTGAAAATAAAACTAACATATTTCATTTAAATAAGATTTAAACTCTAAATTTCCATATAAGTAATCAGTATAAGTTCAACTAGCCCTTTATATTCTCATTTGTCATAAAATTAAAATAATTAAATTAAATACTAATTGGGAGAGAATTCATTTAATTTAAAATTTAAAATCATTACACTCTTACTAAACCAACATTCCTTGGTAAAATTTTTTCAAAATTAATACAAATACAATTAAAACACATTATTATATATTTCAATTTTTTTTTACTTAAAATTCTTGAGTTATTATAAAAACAATAACTGAAAGCTTATTTTCAATGTTAGTGTAGTTGGTTTGAGATGCATTTGAAGTTTTGGAAGCATAAGATATGACATGCAATTTCTCATCAACTCTATGAAAGCACGACACCAAGAGCATAGTTGGAAGCATCACATAATAATTCAAAAGGAAAATCTCAATTTGGTGGTTGAATGATTGGTGCAATGGTCAATATCTTCTTTAACTCATCAAATCCCTACTTACAAGCTTTATTAAATTTGAACTCTACATCTTTATGCAACAATCTTGAGAGTGGCAAGGCTATCTTGCTAAAATCATATATAAACCTCTCTAATAGAAGTGAGATAAGGCAAAAAAGTAATCACTGTTACAAAATATGCTTTAGGAGCGCCTATTTCAAAGCGCTCTTGTAGATTGTAAAAAAAATAAAGAAAAAAAATTAAAATGACATTTGAAAATGCTTATTTTAAAAGTGCTCTAATAAGTTTTAAAAGTTTTAAAAAGAAAAACTAGAGAACCCTATTGGAGCGCTTATTATGGAAGCCCTCCTATAGGTTTAAAAAATTTAAAAAAATAAAAAAAAAAATAAAAGGACCTAATGTAGCTCTTATTATGTAAGCATTCCCATAGGTTTAAATTAAAAACTTTTAAAAAAGGACCCTATAAGAGCGCTTATTATTTAAGCGCTCTTATAAGTTTAGAATTTAAAAATAAAATAAAATAAATAAAGGTGAGTACTCTTATAGTCACCTTTATGAGCGCTTGTTTTATTAGTAGTGGACATTCGCAGGAGGGCAGATATTTTCTAATGTTCTTTTCTCTCAAAACCCTTCCAACTTTGGTCCTCTCCCTTCCCGCCATTGACACTACCTAGAGTCCATCGTCATGTCGCTCCGAGAAGCCTGTCACAGGTGATCACTATATGTTACCGTGCCAATAGCTGTTGCAAATTATAGAGCGCGTCGCCAAAATTTGCTGCTATTTGAAGATGCAGATTGGGTTGTTGTGTCGCCAGTCAATTTCTAAGGACCATCCATCTCGCCATCACAGGAATCTGCATCCTTTCCCGTTGTAGATCTACAGCTGTGCATCAACAGAATCTACAATAATGAAAGGGGAATATGAACTTGACCAATTTTCTAAATCAATTAGGTGATCGACAAGTTCCTATGTTCACTGCAGCAATTAAAGCCTACCAAAAGTTCACTGCAATAGCCAGTTTTTAGCTTTGCGATACTGGATTATGCTTTAAGGATTTGCTCTAAGTTTTTTTTATTCCTTCCAAGATTCATGCTCACATCTCCACAAAATACTTTTTCTTTTTCTTTCTTTATTTTGTTTCTTGGTCCTCAAGGAAAAGTATTTACTCTACAAAACTTCTACAGGTGAATGTCGACCCATGTGGCTATAGGAGATCTAAAGGAGATAATGTGGGAAGTTATCCAGAATTTGCATGTTGATTTACTTGTGATAGGTTATCATGCATTTGGCCACATTAAGAGGTAGTTTTAAATAGTGCTAAGAAATTTATAATAGTTGAAAAGTGATAATAAAAATCTATTATCAATTATTTTTTCCCTTTATGTAATGTTATCCTAGATAAAATGCACTCTATTTTTATTGATTGTTTCTGGTAGGTAATACAAAGTTTTAAAGTCCACTAAAGTTGAAGGGGGGGCTTGCAAGCATCATGGATTATTGTTCTATTTCCTCATTCTAATTTTTTCCCTCATTAATAGTAAAAATAAACATGTTTAGCTTTGGTAAGATTGTTGTTTTATTTTGCTTGCAGTTGCTTTCATTTAGAACTTTTTAAATTCTAAGTGTCATGTGAAAGTCATGTCAAACTATAAGTTTTAACATGAAAGAGAATAATGGATGATTAGGTTTGTATGGCTATGGAAGAATGCGAAAGAAATTCTTATAACGTAGAAGTTCCATGTTGAACATTTATATGACTCCTTATGGTAACTCTTCAGCTTACCCATTTTGGATTAGATGAACACAATCAAATCTGATCCCATGATGGATTCCTCAAACATCAACCTCACTGATAAAAAATCCAACCAGGAAAAATTCCAACCAGGAAAAAATCCAACATGGTGATGACAAAATGCGCACCTAAACCGAAATGCAACTGTAGAGAAAAGATTTTGGATTTGTATGTGATGATGCAGATAAAAAAGACATGGAGAGAAGGAAATGATGGTTAAAAAAGGGAATACAAAGAACACATTGTGAGTCCATGAGGGAGATGAGGGAGAATCGGAGGTCCTTTGGAAGGGAATGATGAAGCTCAATCAGTAGCTAGGAGTGAAGATGTAGAGATGGTGCGACATGATGAAGAACAAGCTTGATTGAGGATGGGCATAGAGGAAGAGATGGTCAGAGGATGATGATATGTCGCTAAGGATGGAAAGTTCTAGAAAGTGAGAGTAAAGACTAGAGCATATTCATCGTTTAAAAAAACTTGACAACTAAACAATGGATCCCACATCAGAAAGTGCATTTAGGTAAAAACACTATAGGAGACCCACGTTAGAAAGGGTTATTAAGGGAAAAACACTATAGGTGAATAGTATGAACAGTAAAAATCGACAGGCTTTATAATATGTAAGACAAAAATGGAAGAAATATAGTTTATCAACTCTTCTTTTCACCTTTATTTTCTAATAATTTTACCGCCTCAACAAAACCCAACAAGATAATTGTATCATTAAAATAGTATAAGAATAACATGCCTTTCAAAATTTACCTCTATTTAAAAATATGAATTTTAAGAAGAAAAATTATTGAAAATTGGAATTGCAGGTAATTCCAAATCACTTTCTTTATCTCATCATCAATAGAAACACAAACCATATCTCAATACACTACAAACTTATCATCATTAAAATTGAAATGTGTAGTCCAACTCTTCTCAGACTCCCATAAGATATTTATTTTCTAGTTGTACCATTTTTAGTTCCCTCTAGAAATCATTACTAATGACCATCGAATGTACACTAACTAAAACCTTCAATGGCACATCCCACTAAGAATCCAAGAATGATTCCATCAAACTATACGCTTGTACTATCAAATAAACCACGTGCAGTGTTTTTTCTACTCAATGCATCAACAAACGCGTTAGCTTCACCTAGATAATATTTAATTTTAAAGTTGTAATATTTAAGAAATTTCATCCATCCTCTATGCCTCACATTTGGCTCTTTTATATCTACTAGATACTTTAGACTTTAGTGATCACTGAATACCACACCATATAGATAATGTCACAAAAACTTCAAAGTGAAAACCACTATTGCAAGTTCCAAATCATGATTTGGATAGTTTTTCTACTTAATGCATTAGCAACGATGTTAGCTTTACCTAGATTATAGTTAAGTTTAAAGTTGTAATCTTTAAGAAATTCCATCCATCTTCTATTGCCTCATATTTAGCTCTTTTTGAACTACTAAATACTTTAGACTTTTATAATCACTTAATACGTTGAAAACCACACCATACAAATCATGTCACAAAAACTTCAAACTATAACCACTATTGCAAGTTCCAAATCATGGGTTGGATAGTTTTTTTACTTAATGCATCAGCAATCACATTAACTTTACCATGATGACATCTAAGTTCAAAGTTGTAATCTTTGAGAAATTTCATTCATCTTCTATGCCTCATATTTAACTCTTTTTTATCTACCAGACACTTAAGACTTTTGTTATTCTTAAATACTTTGACTACCGCCATACAAATAATGTTGCAAAATCTTCAAAGCCGTACTTTTGCAAGTTCCAAATCATGGTTTGGATAGTATTTTTCATGTGGTCTCAATTGTTTCGATGCATAAGCCATTACTCGCTCATCTTGCATTAATACAAACCCTAGAATTTTTAAAGATGTATCAGTGTATATCTTAAATGACAATCGTGAATTAAGAATGATCAATATAGGCACTACAATTAATTTTTCTTTTAACTTTTGTAATGTAGCCTTACATTTATCATCTCAAATAAACAACTGATGCTTCCTTGTCAAGTTGGTCAATAAAGAAGTAATTTGAGAAAACCCTTAGATAAACTATTTGTAATATCTAGCTAATATCTTTGTAATCAAACTAGGCTATTCCTACTTCAACACTACATCTATTTTATGTGGGTCAACTAAAATTCCATCAATAGAAACCACATGCCCCAAAAATCTAACCTCTCTTAGCCAAAAATTTGCACTTGCTAATCTTGGCATATAACTTGCTATCTTTCAAGATATGTAACACAATTTTAAGATGCTTAGCGTGCTACGCTCACTACTACAAAATCTATTTTTTGAAGTACTTATTTTTAACTTATAAGAGTGCTTTTGAAGTGCTCCCGTAGTTAGCACTCCAAAACATACAGGAGCACTTCCAAAACGCTCCTATAGGGGTAGCCAATGGGAGCGCTTTTTGCTTTTTCAAAAAGCGCTCCCATTGGCATCCCTTAGAAAAGCCTACGGGAGCGATTTCTAAAGAAGTGCTCTTGTAGGTGGACTTATAGGAGTGCTTTTCAATATAAGCGCTCCCATAAATCCGCCTACCTGAGCACTTTTAGATTGAAGCGCTCTCGTAGGCTCAATTTTTTTTTTAAACGATCATTTTTGTTGTACAGCACTAACAAATTTATAAATTAATGTACAATATTTTAAATTTAAACACCATACAACTAATAAAAAATGTACTTTCTTTTAAAATTTAATAAAATACAATATTTTTTAGTTCGGTAGCTACAATCTCAATCAACTACTCTAATCACAAAATTAGTGCAAAGATTTATATTCTAATCTTCCAAATATTGGATTGTAAGAGCAAAAATAATATCTAAAACAAAAAAAAAACTGTCTTCTACAATAATGCCAACCTAAAAAAAAAACACAAAACAAAAGTTTAGATAACATAAATAATATAACAAAAATATATGGATAGATACTAATCATACAATACACTTTAATATTTCAACACAAATAACTACACACATTGTTTCTTGCTACAGCTATTTAATATTTGACATTATCAGAGAAAATTCAAACCATGTCCGGCAAGAGATAGTTACCTATTTTTTGATTAGATAAGATAAAAAAAAATAATTTTTTCATGCTATAGAATCCCCTCCTCTGACTTCTTATATCTTCCTCGACTCTTTCAATAGAGTATTATCATTCAGGCTCTAAAATTAATAAAAATATAAATATTGTATTAAATAAATCCTATAATAAGTTTAGATAAGTGCATGATCTGGTTTATTTCGCAAAAGTTTAATTCCATAATGTTGCCATAAAAGGAGAACAAGTTGAAGAGTTTATCCTCGTCTATTCTCTGAAATAAGTAGCTTTCAAGTTAAATTCATGTTTAAAAAAAACCAAGCAAGAGCACAAAAAATCAAGTAGTTCTTACATTAGGATTAAGATTTGAGACCAGAATTGTATACCTTTCATTTGTCCCAGTTATTCCAGAAGGAAAACCATTCCCGAATGCAACGGCAATGGCTGTAGCATTGGCCATCTAGATCATTATGTCAAATCATTTGTATGCATTTCTAAACAAAAGTTGATGAAACAAACATAGATCATTTGTATGCATTTCTGAAGCCAACATTCCCTATTTTTTCATTACATCAAATCATTCATCACACAATGGAAGAAAATCTTGTGATACTCAAGAAGCAAGAAGTTTGAACAGTATCCTCCCTCCCTAACCAACCTAATGTCCTATCTGACAGGAAATGACATGCCACAAGAATAGAAATTATCAGCAGCAAGATATTCTCGCTTCTGACGAGTCAAACTGCTAAAATGTTCTCTGCTGAGGTCAAATTATACCAAGGATAATAGGCAATAGCCAAAGTGATTACCTGTTGCATGATTACTTCCTTTTCCTCCTTCTCTTTAGCCTTCACTTCATTTTGCACTTCAATTTTGTCCTTCACCAATTCATCAACTTTACCAGTGTATTCACGTATGAACTATGAGAAGAAAGAAAATATAGTCAAAATAGATACTGCAAGCATTTCAATGCATGAAAGGCAGAAAAAAATACATAGGAGTTATCCTATATAAAACCACAAGTGAAATGCAAGAAATAAACCATATAATTTGCATTATGCATAAGCCAAGCATCACCCCCTTACATAAAAGCTACTTATTAGTCCATTTTTCAATTCACCAACATGTATCAGGCGCTAGAAAAACCAATGTGATAATTCATAGAAAAAGTAGTTCAAAGCTACTGTTTAAAATTGCTTATATGAGAGATGCCAGTCTTTATAGACACTCAAGTTCACTCCCCATAAACAAGGGTTTTATCCAATAGGAAGCATAAATTTTGGGACACTAAATAAGCGAAGGGGCCAGAGCATACCATCCTGTATCAGTAAGTTACTTGAGGCCTAATATTACAACTTAAAATAAGATAAAATTCATAAGTTCTCTGATACAAGGAAACAGTTAGCAGAGAAAATACAAACCTGTAATGAAAAAATATTAATGTCCAACTAACAGCAACCATCATGAATATTATGCCCCTAGTTATTTCCAAAAGTAAAACCATCATTTCATAAACAACTTCAGAATCAACATGCTTAGAGCTACAAGCCCAAATTTAATGTAAGGAACCCGAAGTGTGCTTGGAGCTACCACAACACTCTAACGTGATTGATAGTGAACCAGAGCCCGAAAGCCTACAAAGTTTGCAAGTATAGGATAACACAATCGGAACAAGCATAGTGCACAGGACATTCATGTATGAGCCAAATGCAATTAAGCCAAAGTCTATAATGCTCTACCCATTAAAAAAAAGGAAAAAAAAAAAACTCTGCATCCTCAATTAAAATCTCAAGATACGCATAGTTAGTATAAAGTGTATAATCCCCTACAAGTTTAAACATGAAAGATAATAATTTCATTTGGTCCAAGAATCTCATTATATTGCTTTTCCCATTTTCTTTCAAATATCAATGATTTGCATATATTAAAATGAATTAGTCAATGGATAAAATATATTGATGCTCGACCTAGTTGAAACCCACAAGCATAAAAGGTTAAAAATGAAAAGAAAGAAGGAAAGTGAGAAATTAGAGAGAATCTGACTAGCTAATTTCTAAAATGTCACAACCTTTTCAGATAGAAGGTTTCTTTATCTAGAGTTCATATCCAGGGAGCAATGGAGCAGGGAAGAAGCACCGTCGGCGACAAAATGGCGAGAGGAAGTGTGGAAGACGTGTGAGGTTCAGATCTGAATCGCGACCCTTCTGCGTTCAAAAACGGAGAACATGGAGTGATTATCGACGATGGCGGAATGTGCGCTGTGCTCGGACAAGGACCTTCAAAAACAGCGTAGGTCATGAGGGGTAGACAATATGTCGACTTCTGGGAGAGAGAAAGGAGGTGAAGGGCCGATGAATATTTTCTTGCGGGAGTTCTGTTGAATGAATGGGCACTGAGGAAGTGGGGCTTTTAATTAATATAATATTTTTTTACTTTTAGAGCGCCCTATTTTAAAGCCCTCCTAAAGATTAGATGTTTAGGAGCTCATTAAAAAAGCATTCCTAAAGATCTTTAATGTTCTATTCTTGTGTGTTGAAGCCCTAATTTTTAGAGTGCTCCAAAAAATTTAAATTTTTTATATTTTAGAGCACTTGTTAATAGAGTACTTTTAAAAATTTAATATATTGGAGTGTTTTTTTTAAAGCACTCTTATAAGTTTTACATTTTATTTAATAGTACTTTTTTTTTAAGTGCTTCGAAAAATATACTTTAAAAGGTAATTCTTGTAATAGTGACTTCATTCTCAGAATAATTCAAAATGCAGTCAATAAAGATTACAACAAACTAATCTAGATAAAGCTTGAAAATACAATTCATATAAACCATAGGTGCATTTGTTAATCCAAATAACATCTATAACCATCTAATGTGAATTTTGGATTGAATAAATTTTAAAAAATTATAAATTCAAAATACATATTGGACAATTTTCTAAATAATTATCCAATATAGTGAGACATATTTGATAATTATCAACAAAACAATCTAATATTCTGCTTCACATCTTCTTATTGGATAGTTAAGCATATAACCATCTAATAAGACTCGTCATATATGAGTAAATTTGTAAAAGTGATCCCAACTGACCACTTTACTCATTTCCTTCATCATCGACCACTTTAAAACCTCTATTACCTACAAACAACTCCTATTAGCTTATCTAACATCAATTGATTACTCTAAACATCTCAAATTGCCACTTTTCATTTAGGGTTCATTCAAATTGGAAGACCCACTCATATAACTTTAGATAAATACTAACCTTAGATTTAGAAAGTTAAAACAACTTTCATTAGTTCCAATGAGACCAATGGGTTCAATTATAGCCCACTTATAATCGAAAACATCATCACTTTCAACAAATCCCGACCTCAAAATTGCATAGAGAGGGAGGAAGATGAGTTGCCTAGATGATTTTGAGCTCAAACAAGCCTCCTAGTGTCACAACTCCATTGCCCTAACAAAGTTCTATGTGTGCTCTCCATTCTCTCCCTCTCCTCTTCTGTTTTGAGCTCTCATGCGATCTAATTAAATCAAATTTTATGCAATCTACTGTGGTGTATTGCTTATCTCGTGGTGTATGGTACAGAAACCCAATCTACATTTTTCTCTTCCTATTAGGCCCAAAGCAGCCCAATATACTCCTTAGCCTAATTCTAAGGTTTTTCAAGAATACAATAGGCCCATTATGTTGGAAATTATGCCATAGGGCCAATTATTGTACTATGTACATTGTTATTTAATGAACTTCTTTTTTGTTATCATATCAATTGCATGTTCAATATGATAACTGTATCATTAGACAAATTATAGTGATTATCTAATTATAGTGATTATCCTTAAAACTCTTCAATTTGATCGAGAAGGTGAATATTTAAGCTAAGAATTCATTGATCATCTTCGGAGTTGTGGGATAGTCTCACAACTAACTGCTCTTGCAACACCACAATGGAATGGTTTTTTTGAGTGGAGAAATCAGACACTATTAGATATGGTTCAATCCATGATGAGTTAAGTAGATCTTCCACCATCCTTTTAGGACCATGCATTAGAAACGGCTACATTCATACTAAACCGTGTTCCATCTAAGGAAATTGAGAAGACACCATATGAGATATGGATTAGGAAGAAACCTAATTTATCTTTTCTCAAGATTTAGGTAAGTGAGGTTTATGTTAAGAAACAGGCCTCAGACAAGTTAGTACCCAAATCTACAAAATACCTTTTTGTGGGGTATCCTAAAAAAATAAAGGGATACTATGTCTACAATCCCACCAATAACAAAGTGTTTGCAATTTGAAGTGGTATCTTTTTAGAAAGAGAATTTATCTCTAATAGAACTAGTAGGAGTAAGACATCTTGAAAAATTCAAGAACCATAAAATAGCACAGAGTTAGAGATAGAAAATCAAGAAGACTCACAAGAAGTAAATGACCCTACTTAAATAACACAAGGCCCACGAAGGTCTGATAGGACATGATATCATCCTTAAAGATATGGATTTTTGATTAATGAATGTCGTGATGTGTTGCTCATTGAACACAATGAACCAACCACCTACCAAAAAGCCATAGGGGACCAAATTTTAAGAAATGGCTAAATGCCATGAAGTCTGAAATGCAATCTATGTATGATAATAAGGTATAAACCTTAGTAGATCCACTTGAAGGTATAAAAATCATCAGGTGCAAGTGAATTTTTAAGGAGAAAATTGACATAGATGGCAAAGTAAATGTCTTTAAGGCGCGATTAGTTGCAAAAGGATTCACTCAGACTTATGGTGTAGATTATGATGAAACTTTTTCACTAGTCACAATGGCCAAATCAATTAGAATTCTCCTTGTCATTACAGTATATTATGACTATGAAATATGGCAGATGGTTGTTAAAACAGCATTCCTTAATGGATGTATACTTAAGGAAGTGTACATGATACAACCTGAAGGCTTTATGCATCCAGAAGACTCTAAAAAGGTGTACAAGCTTCAAAGATCTATTATAGATTGAAGCAAGCATCTTAGAGCTGGAATCAATGTTTTGATGAAGTAATCAAAGAATTTAGATTCATTCAAAACATTGATGAACCTTGTGTTTACAAAAAGATTAATGGCAACATAGTTATATTTCTAGTGCTATATGTAGATGACATCCTACTTATTGGGAATGACATTCCTACCTTGCAGAATGTCAAGTCTTAATTAGGAAAATCTTTCTCTATGAAGGACTTAGGTGAAGCCACTTACATCCTTGGGATTAAGATCTATAGAGACAGATCTAAAAAGCTGATAGGCCTAAGTCAAAGCACATACATAGATAAGATATTGCATAGGTTCAGTATACAAGATTCAAAGAAAGGTTTCATCCCCATGTTTCATGGCATTCATCTCAGCAAAGACTAGTGTCCTAGTACACAAAATCAACGAGATTGCATGAGTAAGGTTCCATATGCCTTGATAATTGAATCTATCATGTATGCTATACTGTTCACTCAATCAAATGTTTCATTTGCCTTGAGTATGACCAGCAAATACCAAGCAAATCTAGGAGAGGATCATTAGACTACTGTTAAGAATATTCTAAAGTACTTAAGAAGGACTAAGGATTTATCTTTAGTATATGGCGGATTGGATCACGAGCTAGTTGTAATAGGTTACACAGATGCAAGCTTTCAAACTAACAAAGATGACCTTAAATCGCAATCAAGATATGTGTTCATCTTAAATGATGAGGCAGTAAGCTGGAAGAGCTCAAAGTAGAGCACAACAACTAATTCTGCAACAGAAGTTGAGTATATAGCAGTATCAAATGCAACTAAAGAAGCCGTTTGGATCAAGAAGTTCATTATTGAACTAGGAGTAGGGCCTAGGATCTCAAATCTAATAAACTTGTTATGTGACAATAGTGATGCAATTTGATAGGGATTGTCATTTTCCTTCAAAATTAAACTAAAGCTAACCCTAATGCAATATAGGGCCAACCCTAGGTCATCTCCCAAGGAATGATTTTAAATCTAATTTAAAATTTATCTAGTGAAATAAATCACCTAAAGTTTGAAGTTAATTAACTAATTGCTAACCTAATTATCTAGTGAATTAAGCTAGAAAACTAATCCTAATTATGAATGGAATGGACTTCCCTTTTAATGTAGGAACCCTAGGGTGTTGGTAATGGAAGAATCTTAGCCTCTAATTAATTATGGCAGCTCACTCAACTTCTCTTCCTTAGCTGAAAAATGTATTTACTTTAAGACAACTATCTCAAGCAACTTAGCTTCACTAATTCAATTCCCTAAGTGCTATTACAAGCCCTTTAGGTAACCTCACTAGCTTAGCTCAAGAATTAACTAAGTGTTTAGTTAAAATTTATTCTCAATTGCCACTAGCCAAAGCTATACCTTTTTAAAACTATGAAAACTCAAGCAAGTCATCAAGTATTCACCACACAATTACATGCTAGCCTAATACAAGACATTTACTAAATGAAATCACATATTACAATGCAAAATCACTAAGTGGTAGAAATTTCCAGCAACAAAAGGAAGTGAAATTCAAGTCAACAACCTTGTTTCAACACTAATAATTACAACTAACCATGAAACTAAAGTCAAATTGAACTATAATTAACCATAGTCATAGTATTCTAGTGAAATTGAAACAAGATGAAGAAACAATTGAGCTTAGCCAAATGAAGACTTCAAAACTCCTCTTCCATCAATTCCTCCCTAAGATTCCATGGAGAATTTAGCTAGAAAACATCAAAACCACTTACTCCTCCAAGAACTAGACATAGCCAAGTAGAGCTCCATGGAAATGGTAGAATCAAGCTTTAAATCTCCTTACAAGTAGTAGGAATAGGTTCATCCAAGGAAGAGGAATGAAATGGTGGTGGTTTTGTGGAGGTTTGATGGCTGAATGTGGAGTTATGGGTGCTGGAAAAATGAAGAAAGTAGAGAGAAGGTGGAGAAAATGAAGAACAAGATGAACCAGAGAGAGAAAATGTGGAAGATGAATGAGATGAGTATTGGATCTCATTTGAGGGGCAAAATGGCATGCTTATTCTGTTTTCCATCAGCTGAAGGCTTAATTAAAAAATAAGAAAAGAAATTAAAATGGAAATGGGAGCCTTATCACACTTGCAAGGTGGCAACCTCTTATTGGTTTATAGATGATTTCAATGTATGTGTAATTTCTCATGTGTCATCCACATCATTTAAACTGATTTAATATCCCAAAAATAGCATAAATCACATGCAAAATGCTCAGCCATTAACCTCAATGATTTTTGACTTCAATTGCCTAATTGATGCATAAGTCACATGCCACCTATGTCACATAAATCACATAATTCAATTAAATGGCCTGTGATATAATAAAATC